GCGAGTCTGTACGAATTAGGTCATTCACTCTGAGTGACGATTCAGCGGCATCCGGTATTTCAATTCTAGCACTGTAATCCTACCCAGATTCCAACTTTAAAGCCATGCTGAGAACAATATCCCCTAAAATACACGGCTCCATCCGAATTCAAGTTGCAAACAGTTCCAAATTTGCCGGTCACTTGTAAGAAATAGTTACTGATCCCCAAGAAATTCTATCGTTCTCTCTCTGCATTAAATCAACCATTGTAGTCTTTAAGATGACAAAACAACTGTATGAGGAAAACGGAGGCGGTCCTTTTTGTTAGCAGGGAAATTATCAGGGGTAATATAATTAAACGCGCTAAATAAGCATGCTGCAATATCAAAAATATTGCAGTGTGCAGGCTGCAATATTAAAAATATTGCAGTGTGGAGGTTACAATTGTTAAAAATATTGCTTCTTCCACTCCTCAAAGACTTTCAAAACCCACGCCCATTTCCGGCGGCTGGCGTCTGAAACCCAACTTTTGTCAAATTTCTCGCATTCTGAAGCTGTAATTGGCGTTCTAAATCTTTGCTGTATTTAAAAAAAGAAAATGGAAACGCCGCCTTTAGAAGTCGATAAAGAATTAAAGCACTGACAGAAATGTCCAAACGTTACACTACATTATCTTCGATTTCTGCTGAAATATCTGCCTTCGTAGAGCTCTGTGTAATAAATAATCCTTCGTCATCCGACGAATCCATCCTCTTTCTAAACCCAGGTTCGCACTGAGTTAAATGACTCAATTCTCTGGCTTATAAAGTATGCAAATTAGCAGTGTTACACGCCTTGCACGAAGTAATTCCATCATTAGACCTGTTCTGAACAACTATAACAACGAGCTACAATAACAACCCTCGGCACAATTAAAATCTAAGATATATTCATCACAACAAAGAATAGGAATGAGCATCACAATTATCACACATAATCGAAGATCCAACACAGACACAGAACAATAGGATTTCATGTGGATCAATAATTATAATAGATAATTACTTCGGCACGGGGCATTATGAGAACTGGCTGCAATATTTCTCATAATGCCATATGCCTCAGTAATTATCCATTAAATCGAGTGACATTCGTCGTGACATTCTTCTCTTTGATAAACACCCCTGTGGCCTCGATTGCATGAGAATCTACACAGCGGCGGGCGGCGGGCGGGGGAAGACACTCCCTCGCTAATATTCTTTATTCAGCATGGATACTTCTCTTGATTATTGACGCTGCAGTTTTCGAGGTATACGTGATAAGAGATGTGGGCCATCCAGTCTAAGTAGAGGGAAGGACAATGTTCGTTTGTTGGACTGCACAAGCGATTTAGTAGCCTTGTGACTGAAAAATCCCTTTTAGGGAGTTGCAATAAAGTATGCAATAAAGTACGTATGCATGTATGTATGTATGTGTGTATGTGTGTGTGTATGTGTATATCGAAAAGCATTTGACTCTCTGTCACTTGCCAAAATATCTCGCAGAATATAAGGTCGTTTTTGCTGGAAAAGGGATTGCCTGAATGACACGAGTATTGGCCCAACTCACAGAGATGAGCGAGAAAAGTATTGGCGCCCGGCCCAGTCATGTCAGTATCCGAGTCACCGAGGAAAACGAAAGCGAGCGAAGGACACCCACGTCATCAATATCAAGGTTGCCACAGAAATTTTTGACGTGTTTGGATGCACAGTTCCGATTGGATCACGAAAGTCATTGTTCATTTACTACGTATTATTATATAGATACCTCTTCCTCTCTCTTTGTTTTTAATTTGATTGTTTGTGTTTCAGTTATTTGCTCCACTTGTAGACGGAATCATGCAGAGTCAACTCTCGAAGTTGTCGTAGTTTATGAACACGAAGGAAGTGTCTGGGAAAGGTTAGTTGTATTTCAATGTATTGTGGCACATGTGTATTACAGAATTCGATATATAAATTTGCTTGGCACTTGACGCAGCGGTAAATCAATATTTTGTGCTGTTATCGTATATATCAAGGTGTCCCACAAGCATCTCAGACTCGGTGGCTTTCAAGTTGAAATCTGACCACCGAAGTTGTTTCCATTTGTAAAATCAAATCTTAATTCAGTTGCTGAAAATTTTTATGATTCCCTAAGAAGAGACTGGGCTAAGCAGTTTTCTACCAACACCAATTTGAAGACACAGCAAATCAAGAGGACCTACTGTTTGGCAGTTTCTCAGAATTGTGTGAAGGATGGGCGTTGGCAACAAGTTCAGGGAATGTCTGTTTTGCAGAGCATGTAAAGGCCTATCCAACGACAAAGTTTGACTTTGGGATAGCGACTGGTAACAAACTGACTCCAAAAGATTTGGATATATCAACAAAGTTGAAATGGTAAATTGGCCATCGTAACGATTACAAAAGCTGACGTTTCGAGCGTTAGCCCTTCGTCGGAGCGAATAGAGGAATTGTGGGTTGTGTGTGCTTTTAAAGGCAGAAAATGGTGCTACGTTATTAGTGGGAACATGGCAACGAGAAAAACACGAACAAATTAGTGGAATGAAAAGCGTTTGTTGATCCCTGTGGAATTTAGACTGCCGGTTTGAAAGATGAGCTTTTGTTCAAGAGTTTTACGGCTTTCCGTGCTACCTAAGTGTAAGGAAAGACCGCAGATTGCCATATGTTGCTTACCTAATCATTCTAAGGAGACTTTTCTCAAGGGAGGAATGGCTAAAAGAAAGCCAAATAAAAAGCTTCTTCTCCAGGCTGGGGTCCACTCGAAAACATTCAACACCTTCAGAAGAAGAGGAGGTAGCGGGAGTTGAGTGGGAAGAATTTGAAGATGAAGTAGAGCTTCTAAACTCTATCCATGCGCACATTGGTTTGAAACACCCCATTCTCTATGGCACTGTTGTAGAGTATTTTAAAGGATTGCTATTTCGAGTATTTTTAGGTTTACCTTTTGTTTTGATGAGTCTCGCCTTTTTACGCCTACGTGTTACTTTGATAAATTTATAGTTTTGATCTTTTATTTTTAGTGCGTGCTTGAACTTGGCGCAGTTCGCGGATTTCCTTCTTCTCGTGCTAGACATTTTAATCGCTTGTTATGGTTGAGAAGGATTAGTTTCATAGGTGGTCATGTTTGGGTTAGTAAAACTGACCTTGAGTTTTACCCACACTAAGATCCTGTTTTGAGCGCGTGATTCTCGTATGCAGCTCGATCATTGGCGTTTAATTGGTTCTTTGGTGCTCGCCAAGTGCTTCGGAGCGAGCCACCCAATTTCCCCCCTTTGCAAAACAACGAATACACCATGGAAACTCCCACGGTCAGCTAACCCAAACATGTGATTTTTGCATTAAATACGAGGGCACTCCTTGCCAAAAAAAAAAAAGAGGAAAAATAGCAATAGCAGAAGCAGCAATAGAGGAGAATAAAAGAAGAAAAGTATAGAGTCTTGGCACCTCTCGTTAATTCAGCCAAGCGAGTGGCAAAAACCCCCCAACAATACTTTCAATGTTTGAATATGCTACTGAGCGAAAACTCCTGAAACTGAATAATACAATTCTCAAGGAAATTCTTGATTATGAGATACCTTACACATCGAAGGACAGAAAACAAGACTCTGTTGCAAAGATAGAACTGGTCACAGAATGCGGTTGTCTCCAGTGACCGCCCCCCCTGGCCCGCGGCTGTCTAGTTTCTCATGCAATCGAAGCCACTGGGTTGTTTATCAAAGAGATGAATGTCACGATGAATGTCACTCGATTTCTTACAAATAACCGGCAAATTTCGGATGAAGCCGTGTATTTTAGGGGATATTGTTCTCAGCATGGCTTTAAAGTTAGAAGCTGGACGGGATTACAGTGCTAGAATACAAATACCCGATGCCGCTGAATCGTCACTCCGCCAGCGTGAATGACCTAAATTCTACAGACTCGTACCCGGAAAGAAATGCTTGGAATCCTTGGACCTTCGGACAATAAAACCTGACTTATAGACATTCTGCAGTATTAGTAAGTGCACTGAGCTGTTCATTTGCGATTATTTTGTGATTCATTGTGGATAATTACGAATGCAAATTACCGAAAGCAGCGCCGTACAGGTATGTGAAAATCTCACATTTCCACTTCGCTTTATTTTTTTCCTGCCATAATAGCCATGGATATTTTTACGGAATATGGTGCTCTCATGCACGGTTGTTAAGTGTGTACAACTCCTGATATCTAGTTTTGTCCCAGTACGGAGAAATCGCAATTTAAAAAGTACACCTTTTCCGCCTAGTCGAGTAGTGGCATACTTAACGTGACGACAGTGTTTACATTTATCACGATACTCTACCGTTGTGATCACACTTGAAAAGTTGATGTATTAAACTGTTGTATTCCAAAATATTTCCCATATTGAATCATTTTTGACAGCGTGAGATCCTAACAAAGCATGCTCATTTTGTGTACCCAAATGATGTCAATTTCACGATTCGATCTAGGTGCGGAAAATTGCTCAAAAATAAAAAACTTTTGAAATCAGAGGGAAATCACTTTTGTTCCGATGATAGGCAATGGTTTCCGTATCCACATGCAAAGTTTAAGGTAAGATTTATTTTTGAACCAATTTCGAGTGGTCGGAAATTACGGAGACACGCTCTTAATTGGTAACAGGGCTTTATCTCGTCCAGTTCTGTCTCTTATCATACTCTTGATTGACAAATCCGACTCCTCCTTCGCGATTTTCGGATTTTGTTATCCACCCGTATGATTACGGACCGAATTGGACTCTACTCGGTGCATTAGTAACAAGTAATTCCTACTTTAGCACACAGGACGCATATTTTATTTTCTGAGTCAAAGATAGTTCAATTGTGGTAACTATTTCCTTGAAGATAAATTTCATGCTCAAAATGAGATAACAAATTCTAATCTTAAATTTCAAACATTAAACAACATTTAGCACCTCAATAGCTTTATCTGTACGCTCAGTATTGACATTTTTTAACGCTTAGTAACCCTTACTACGTCATTACCGTGTAACTCTTTGGACCTGATGCCATGACAGTTTAGAATCCAATGGTTTCCATGCCAAACCCAACACTCTGTAACCTTTCATGGTATAATGCTGCAGTATATTAGTGAAATCTCCTGGAACTAACCAAGAAATTTGACAAATGTTAGGCTTTTTCTAACATGAACCATCACAATCAGTTTCATTTAAATACAAAGTACCCCTTTCAAGGGCTAATTATTTTAACTACAGTTTCGAAGAAAATGTTGGGGTCCGAAGTACTCATGGAAAGGTAACCGGTTCGAATCCCATTGAGAGTACTAATTTTTTTTTAATCCAAATATGCCACCATCTTCAATTACAGCATCACTCGCATAAGCATCACATTTTTGTCGAAATTTGTCATCTTAACTTTTATCATCACTGGGCCTAGGCATCATCTATCGACATTCCTATCTTCGTAGTATGCAGGATATTTTGTCTGGTTTTCTTTCCAAGGTCTCTAACAGCCGGGAAAAGGAAGTCAGTGGCATGAATGAGAAGGATTTCATTGGCAAAAATGATGCACATTTGTCGAAATCATTGGCTGGCAAGCATTACGTTCGTCGATCATCTTTAGTGTCCTTGAATGTACATGGTTCGACACCAACAGCTGTATCGCAACAATATGTCTTGCTGGACATAACTATCTGCGTGGATGTATAGCCTCAATCCGGCCCACCAGGGACAATCCTAACCGGCAATGTAATAGAATGGGGCAGTTAGAGAACAAACACTGCTTGGAATCAAAATGAGCGAGCGCATAAGACTTTTTAGCCTCCTAACAGCGAAGCGGTTAAGCCCCTGACCTAAAATTATTGGGCAGTTAGAGATACAAGAGATGACGAGGGTCTGGAATTTTAGGTTCTATACTGAGAATCATTCCAGTGGTCAATGGTCGCCACACGGTGAATCCTGAAAAACGACTTCACGACTGAACGAGTCTTAATGGAATTATTTTTTTCAACAGAGCCACCAGTAGAACAACATCAGAATGTTTACGAACTGGCCACAAATCAACACATTACGAACGTGTGGTCTATAGACAACAAAGGATTGCACAATCATCCGGCCGCCCACGTTTCATCATCACCATAAAGATGAATTCGGTGGACACGTAATTGGACTGTTTGTACAATAACATCTATCTGACTTAGCATATAATTTGAGATCATCCCTGCAAATGAAGTGGTTGATTTGTGGTCTTTCCTTGCCAGACCATCCCTAAGCGTATGCAATACCTGCACCAGCCTCCCCATATGCCACGCCATAAAGGGTCAGTGCAAGCACGAAGAGGATTGGAGAGCAGGAATTTCAACCGGGCGGTTTCCTGTATTAGATGTGAGCTTGAATGTATTCTTGTTTGTTTACCTTATCCCTTCCAGCACATTCTCTAGGTATTAAATTGAGTCTACTCTTTCTGACTGTTAATCGGCCTTCATCGTTTTCATGCGCTCGAATTTTCAAAAAGCGACAAGAACCGCTGCGGTACTCATTAAACATTTTGTGCCCTTTCAATTTGCATAATCCTTCATCGGTCCGCGGGCATTACCGCTGTGTAATGCCCTGCTATGATCTCTCTCTCTCTCTCTCTCTCTCTACCAATCAGAGAGCGCGTTATATCCCACAAGCCTAAGCCATAATAAGTAAGCGTTTTTGACCAAGCGTGATGTCAAGATGGCTGGATATTGGCCGAGTTCTTTTATAGTTCCATAAAAACGCAAAAAAAAAAAAAAAACCAGGCTAATATAAAGCCATCTTGACCGAACAAGCTTGGTCAATAAAGGATTTATTATATCGCAAAAGATTTCGCTTTAACAAGAATCAAGAATGACTTGATCATTTGGAGAGCAGGCAATGACTGTCAGTGTGCATTTACCGACACAAACCTGTTTGTGGTTGGCACAGAGTTGTAATCGTCTCTGGAGCACCTTTCACATAAACATCCATATTGGGGGCACCAAGCGTACGACACACAACACTCATACGCTGCAGATCTGAAGAAAATGGAAACTGTCGAACGACAGCTATTTCATAAGGAGTCTAGATTGAGGGAAATAAAATCAATCAAAATTTATGATAAGCCATACTATAAAATTCAGTAAAACTTATTAAAAGGTTTTCCATCTGCTAGAAAACCCCTAGTAGGATTCTGAATGGGTAATAAGACGTTACTTACATGCCCTTTCAAAGCATACTCAACAATGAACTCTTCAGCAGTTTTGGGTTTAACAATTGTGGGAACTATATTGTCAAACTTTGTATTGTCTTCTCCTGGCTCCTCGAGAATCTGCAGTGAAAAAAGGTAATTTTACACCGAGGTAAATACTGGTCCAATTAACAGGAGATTATCTACGTTTTAACCAAAGAAATATTTTTACTACTCTCTTGAGGGTACAGAGAGAGATAGTGGAAGGCACTTGCTCCTCAGTATTTCCACTTGCGACTAAATCAATTTGCATGGACCACAGTAAAAGAAAAGATGACATCTTTAGCATCTTGAATCACAGAGATGTTGAAAGATTTTTGAAGTATCATAACAACCGTTATAGCTTCCATTCGCTTCACCATGGATAAGATAACGACCACAAACTCGCCCTCCTTAACAAAGCAAATTTAAGAGAACTGGAAATATGGACACCACCGTCGTATAGAGTGTGGGCACTTGTATCATTCACAACATTAACAATCGGTAAAATGCAACATTCACAAGAGTCTTTACGAGCCCGCTATTTAAAAAAGATGAGCTCTACAAGAAGAATTATCGAACGGTGACGGTACTACCAATTTTAAATAACATCTATGAGAGAGTCTTGTCTGACCAATTATCGGTATATTTCAAAGACATATTGTCTGACTGCATTTCTGCATATCCCAAGAATTATAACTGGGAGACCACACTGCTGCGTCTAACAGAAGATTGGAGGGCTGGCTTAGATAATAAAAAACTCGTTGCTGTGATATCTTTTGACCTTTCCAAGGCCTTTGACTGTGTACCACACAAGTTGCTGCTAGCTAAGTTGAAGGCGTACGGGGTAGCGGAACATGGCATTGCTCTATTGCGAAGTTATTTGTCTGGAAGATCGCAGAGAGTAAAAGTAGGCGACAAGTTTTCTTCTTGGCTGCCGGTTATAAAAGGAGTACCTCAGGGATCCGTCCTTGGACCCCTTTTCTTAAATGTATTCATGAATGATCGCTTTTAGTTCCTGAAAGGAGTCTGTATCGATTATGCTGATGATGGGCAAATTTATGCCTCTTATAAAGATTCAGTGAAGTTAGAAATGAAACTTCAATGCCAACTCCTCGAAGCTGACCAATGGTTTGGTATAAATGGCATGATTACAAATCCTGGCAAATATCAAGCAATGATTTTAGGGATAAAAACTACACCTTCAGTTTTACAGTCAATGACACCAATATTCCGGTAAAAGATGATATTGACCTCTTAGGAGTGAACATTGACAAGAATCTGCAGTTCAACAGCCACGTTAAAAACATTTGTACAAAGGTCAGCAATCAAATTAATGTAATTTCCCGTATTCGAAAAATAGTACCGACGGATGTGAAATGTAAACTTTACAAGGCCTTTATTGTTCCATATTCTAGATATTGCTCAGCAGTTTGGCACTTTTGCGGGGCTCGAAATGGAAATAAATTAGAGCATCTGAACAAAAGGGCGCTCAAGATTGTTCTGTAGGAGAAGTCTCTGCACTACCAGGAGCTACTGAGCAAAATTAATTCTAGTGATCTGTATAGTATTAGGTGCCAAGACATGATGAAAATAGTTTTTAAGACAATTCAGTTCGAAACGATACCGAAGTACATACGAGGTCTTTTTCAAATGAGTACTGAATGCAACCTACGAGGATCAAGGAAACTTGTTATCCCATATGTCAATACAACCACTTATGATCTTCACTCCTTCAGATACAATTCTGCAAACATGTGGAACAAACTAACAGAGGACCTGAGGTCATTGACGTCGTTGAAAGAGGTTAGAACTAAAATATGTCAAATTTCTTTCGAACATTAAATTTCCTTTGAACATCAATGCAATTGCTACTTATGTAAATAGTAGTGTAAAGTACTGTATATAATATACGATTCTATTTTTACTCATTTACTTAATTTTTTCTTTTTCTCTTTCTCGGAGAAATTAGCTATACAGCTACTTTTGTAAATCCGAGGTGAAATAAAGGTGATGTATGTATGTAGCTCACGTAACAAAACCTCAGTTGGAGGTTTTAATGAACTACATGTGTCATAAAAAGACCTTGTAGATAAAATAAATCGCGCTATAGTAAAGCTGTTAATAGCACATGTCAAGACAAGTAATGACCTCCTTTATTTTTAACTGAGTTAAAAAAAAATTTTTTGACTTTGCTTATCCTTACTGTTTTTGGGGGGCATGTCACCTTTGAACTTAATGATAGCAATGCTTACTGCATATTTTTCTGTGGCTCAGTGGTAGAGAATCAAAGCCCAGAATATGCAGCTCTGGGTTTCGATTCCTTGCAGAGATGGAGAGTTTCTTTGTCTGATGTTCGTGAAAAAAAAAAAACTTTCTTGGATACAATGATCAAACATCACCAACTTGTGAAGAGTGTGTGAAAGATTCTATTTACCCAAAGTTCATGAATTTTCCCACTATTGTGATTGCTGATACACTGATTCTTCTAATGGTCCAGACGAAATGAAAACAGCTTAAAAGCATTTTACTATATTTTTCTTCTAGTTTAAAAATTATGTGAGAAGGCACGCGCTTTCACTAATAAAGAACAGACAGTCACATAAACATGCAAGTTTACATCATATACCTATGTCATTAATTAAGACCCCCATAATACTATGCTAAAAGCTCCTTTTTTCTTGTGACAGAACTGAAAGAACTAACGGCATCCTCTTTGCGTATACTAAAAACAATAATTTTCCAGAGCTTTGCCCTTGGAAAGTCCTGCCCAATTCCGTTTCTCTCTTCTGTTTTACCGGAGGCACATTAAGTTAGAGTTCCTATAACAACTGGCATTACTGGGTATGTTTTATTCAACTCGGACCGTCGATCTCCTTAATAAGCCTACATGTACGTATCAGTTTGCATTTTAGGAAACTTAATTCGTCCTTAAGCGATAGTCAATTGAGCCTTATCTAAATAAGACTTCACTCCTATCTCCCATGTCAGCATCATGGATAACAGAAGCTGCCCGATGTTGCAATTTGGAAACGTGTTTGACATTCTCTTCCAACGCCGCGCTCCATACGTACGATCCTCACATTATCGCCTTTATTACATCCATTTTAAAATCACTGGTGGTCCCTGTAATCTGATTGGCTCTAATTGGTGCGATTTATTCCCAAATCGCACCATTTTTTGCTCTAAATCGCATCTTTTTTCCAGCCAATGAGGAATTTACACTTAAAACAAACAACCAATCAGATTTCAAGGCTTGTTTAAAGTGACCAATCAAATTGCATGAAACTGAAAAACAAAGAGTATCATTTGGCAAATTTTGCAACTTTTGTTTCCAAAACTCTTATTTCTTCCCCCCCAAAATGGATGAGTTTAATTTCTTCCAGTTTTTGAATGATGACAGTGAGATCCTTCAGGCTGAAGACCAACATGCCAGGGACTTTCCCACTTTTTGTCTACATTTTGGTGAATATTTTGACGATTTTGTACCTTCTCAAGCTCAAAATCCGCGCGATCCCGAGTCCACCGAGTCAACAACAAACGAAGAAAATCAAAAGCCACTACAAGAGTTGGATGTTGCAAGATTTCCCATCATTTCAAGCGATGAAATACATGAGCTTAAGTCTGTCACTTCCAATAAAAATACGTCCCGCTCCACAAAACAATGGATGAATGTTTTCAGAAGCTGGTGTCAATGCCGCCA